ACACACACACACACACACACACACACACACACGTCTCCACCTGCACTTACCATGGCAATAAACCTGCCAATAAAACGAAAATATTTCAGGTGATCTGGATTGATGTAAGAAGCAGGGTTGATCTGCAAACAGTAGTTATCCTTCCCTGCATATTCAAACAGGCAGTACATTGGGTTCAGCACCTCATGCGACAAAAGAAAGAACCATTCTCTGAAATCAAAAGAAAACTTTGGGTAAAAAATCCTGTGAGTAATCATGCTAAAAATTTAAAAAGCAGTGCTACTCAATTTCAAAGAACCTATATTCCTTAGCTGGTAATAGTTTTCTACTTCCATTTAGATTTTTTACTAATTTTGTTTAAATTCACATTTCAAAAATGACATATACACCGTTACCGTATTATATTTCAAAGAATCTAAGACATGAAATGCACCATTATTTGGTGAACCACTAAAACAAGTTTCCAATTATAATTTTATGGCGCATTCCAATTTCATAATTTTGAAATTATTAGTCTTAGAATCAGTGAAATAACCATATATAACTTTAAAATTCCGTATCAAACCATTTGATGAGAGCATCTGATGTGAGTCTAATATGAAGGGATCTTCAAAAAGTTCATTGATAAATTTCATTACCATTTTCTTTTAATATTTTCCTAAATTTTTCAGAGCCCCTTCCGTATTACTAAACCCTAAGGGTAAAGTATTAGACTGCTAGTGGACAGGCCAGCAATTTAAATACACCAATCACTCTGCTGAGAAAGATGTTCCTACAGCTTAGTTCTGTTGTATGCTTTGGGGGCAAATCAAATCAATGGCAGTGGATTATAAGTGAGCATAGTGATCCTCATCAAGTGCCATTGCAACCAAGGTCTTACTTAAATTAAAACTAATGTAAGATGATGGTTTCTAACTGTGTAACATGGGTGGGGGTCTGGTAGAACAGAAGACAGAATGGATTTGGGACAGTAGATGTGGTGTCAACCTGTGTCTAGATCTCTTTTCCTTTGAGTTCATGGCTTCCAACAAGAACACTACTTTATACTATTTTTTGATTAACTATCTTGTACTGAGTATTTAACTCGTACAAAATTGGAAGATTTGGCTTATGTTACTATTTGCCTATGATTACTCTGAGCATTTTGGGAACGGGTTCATTTGAATTTTGAAATAAAGAAATATAAATAAGAGCTAATAAGATGTAGTTAATGAGCACATTGATACTCAGCCTCTAAACCAGACCACTAATAAAATATTTCTAATCTTCACAATAATTACAGCATGGTAGATATTACTATTCTTGTTTTACAGATGAAGAAATTTGCCCTTGCTCATACTTCTAAGTGTAAAAAAAATTTGATTCCAGCATTGATGCCAAAGCCTGCCTTTTCAAACTGCCCTGATGCTATGTAAACTTTGAAGCTGTGTGTGTATAATTATGGTGAAAAAAAAGCAATTTCGTGTTTGAGTTTATTTCCTAAGGTTTTTTATCAGAAGCTCCAATTTTAAGAAAAGAGAATTGACTACCAATTCCTATTTTATACCACTGTTTTCTAATATTTTTAGCACATGTACATTAATCTGAGTTAGGAGATGAATATATCATCAGTGAGCTGGAGGAGGAGACTTTTGTGATCTGAACACGGGTTTATAGCTAAGATGACAAAAAGCTTACATACAGACCCCACAGCAGTGTACACCTCAACTGAGTCATTAACCCTATAAAAAGGGTAATGAAGAGGTTTATCTGAGTATTAAATGAGTGATATGGGTGAAATCAATTAGCAGTCCTTCAGAGAGGTGTAATTCTGTAGCTGCTGTATAATTAAGGTGCAGTAAGTGGCTACTTTTCATTTTTCTGAAATATAAGACTGAGAAAATAATACTTGCAGGCAAAGTATAACGATATCTTTGGAGGAAAGGAACTACCTTGCTACACCTCCATAATCTAAACCTTCTTCTCCGGGAAAAATCACCCACAAACGTCTTCGCAGATCTTGGGGACTGAAGCTCATTATCTATAACACAAAAATGTAAAAGAATATTTTTTGCTCAGAAGCAACAAAGCCCACATGGAAGAAGCACACCAGCCTATGCAACCACGAGGTGTCGAAGGGATCAGGTGTAAGGATCAT